GACTGGTATCCTCATGGCAAAGCACTCTTGGTTTGTAGTTCCAGTATCTCTTTTGTACTTCCAGATAAGTTTTCAAATCCTTCCTACCTCTGCAATGCCACTTCAGAACAAAAAGGAGCAATGGCTGGCCAAGAGACAGGTCCCAGGTTGTCTAGAGGAAAACTTGAGAAATTCATTGAGAAATGTGTCCTGGAAACAAAACCAAAACCAAGCTGCCAAATTCTGCACTGGTGTTTTACAGATAAATCTAAAATACAGTGTCATATTGCGTTACTGAAACAGTATTGCAACAGTCTAATCATCAGTGACACTGGTAAAGGTTGCAGCACAATGCACCTATTGTAAATTCTTAGCAATAATTACACACAGAACAGAAGACCTGGCCTTCCACTTGATCTTCCTGGAGCACAACCAGATGTCTAGATTGACCACAGATGGCCAGCAAACCTTCTAGAAGTCAAATTTCTGTGTAATAGTTCTTCACATAGCAACTAGCAAATATTTTTCTGTCAATAGGAGAAAGATGAATACAAGACGGATACAAAACGAATGAAAGCTGAATACTGAGTACCCCAACATGAGGATTTCTTCCCTGAATCTACCTACTAATAAAGAAGTACCAGATGAGTTTGCTGCCTACAAGGAGACAAACAGCTTCAAAAAGGATATTTGACACTGGCTGAGCTACAGAATTACAGTAAGATTCAGCTTTTCCAAAGGGTGTGCCTGATGTTCAACTTCTAATGTTTGAGGTCACTGTAGTGATCCAGACCTTTCAGCACTTCTGAAAAACAGATGCTTTTGTAGATAAAAAAATACAGAGAAGTAACATTGTAGATACCCACCCTTCATAAACATTTATATTCTCTTATTTTCATGAATTCTCTCTGCCACACTTCCTTTCACTTCTGTATTCATCAAGCTCCTTCCTCTTCCCTTGGTGAGCTTAGTCTGTGAGCAGGGGTTCTGTGCTGGAGACTACAAGGTCCTAGTATCTCCAACCTTCCCAGCAAAGATCAAGAACATCTCAAAAGCTACAAAGGCTCCCCCTCTTCAATTCACTTGCACCCTCAGGCTCAAAAGTGACATCTTCATAGTTTCTGGGGAAAGCAGCTGTTCCAGGACATCAGTCCCATGAGAGAGACACTGCCTCGTCTGACTCTGCCAAGTCCTTTCAGGATCTTGGAGATTACCACTGAGACATTCAATACAACTTCATATTTCACGGAGAGCCAACGTAATGAGTAACAAATCACAGTGACACTTACTTGGCAAGCAGCGCTGCCCAAATGGAGGGCTGTTCCACACAAAGGCTTTCTCTATATGGCAACACCTATTTCTAGGCATAATTCATGCTGCTACCTACGGACACAGACCTGATATGCAGCAATGATCTCTGGATAAAAGGGGGCACCAGCAAGCACAACTGGAGGAAATTCTGGAGAATATTCCTGCTGCTGGCCTGAGTCCCTTAGTCCAGCAGATTTCTGGAGGTGATTGTGCCCAAAAGACAGAAATTGGGAAAAAAGGAAATAAGGTCATAGCATTTGGGCTGTCTTGACAGCATTTCCCTTTTTCCATCTGTGTTAGCTTCCTTTCTCACCTATTACTAATAGCCAGGCGCAGTTAGTTCCAGTTGTGTGAGAGAAACTGGTAGAAAGTCATGTGTACTTTGAGATGACTGGCTAGACATGGCAAAGCACCCTCCTAAACGTAATTGTAATGGAGAGCGCTGGGTTTAGCTATTCATCCATTTGCTTTTGAAGAGAATTTGGTAGAAAGTCATGTGTACTTTGAGATGACTGGCTAGACATGGCAAAGCACCTTCCTAAATGTAATTGTAATGGAGAGCACTGGGTTTAGTGCTCTCCATTACAATTGTGCATCCATTTGCTTTTGAAGAGAATTTGAGATACATTCTGTGCCCCAACAACTAATTACTGAGTATTTTAAGGGACAGTGATTACATTACACAGTATTTTCTGTACACATGCCCAGACTTACAGTGAATGACCCTTCAAAACTACTTTCCTTACCACCCACCCCTTGAATTCTGCATCATTCTTCTTTAGAACAAGTGACAAGTCTATTTATCCATGGTCACTCTACATAGCGAGGAGGAAATTAGCTACACATAGCTGGTTTTCTTTGAAATTTATTTCAATGGTTCTAACAGTACCTGTACATAAGAAAGCTGTAAAATAGGAGATTCACAGGATCCCTAAAAGAATATTTCAAGTCTATATCAAACCAATATTGTTTGATGTATAACACTTACACTATTTTCTTTTAAGCCACAAACACCCCAAAAAAAAGTTACCCCTCATAAATTAACAAAGGGAGGATGGATACTTATACCAAAAAAGTGACAAAAAACATGCAAATAGTGATGTCAACCCCATCCACACAAAAGAAAAAAAAAACTTTAGCCCTGCAGAACAAATGCCACATACTTTTGTTTTCAGAGCTGGTCTGCTACTGTATAGGAGTGTGCAGAATCCTCAGAAATAAGTTTTGTTAAAAAAAAAAAACCAAAAATAACCAAAAAAACCCAAAAAGTTTCATGTTATATGCCTTATTCCCCAGGCAGCTCAACTCAGACACTGTTACCAGCATGTCTTTAATCCTGTCAGTGATAGTTTTGCTTGCTTGCTATTTACTTTCATAGAAAATGAAGCATGTTACAAACACTACCCTCCACGCTTGCTCCTGTGAGTTTCATTTTTAATGCCATAAGTGCCTCCTGCAGATCTGTAGCATAGGAAGATAGAAGTAGCAATAAGGTGTAGTATAATTGCCTTAAAAGAGCTTTCTGTTTATACAGCTTTTTATCTTCCTCTGATATTTCCAACCAAGCATCAAAGAGCAAAGAGAAAAACCTCTGCTCCTTGAATTCCCAGCATGTTCCTCTCTGCCTCATTACAGACACTGTTGAAGGACATGATAAAGCTGAGCTGACCTGTTTCAATCTCATCCATCAGCACAGGCACAACTGGAAACAAGCCCTCCTGGAGTAATGTCAGCATTGACATCAAACCTAAACTACACAGGGGCAAAGGCAAAACACCAGAAAGCCCTATTTGGTGTCCAAGAAACCCTGTTGGTATCTGAGAAACTCTTTTGTTTCTTTCTTTCTGCCCCCTTTACCACACGTGATGCAGTTGTTAGTAGCGAATACTGAAAACTCAGTACACTCTGAAAACTGGACTTGCCCACACATCCATCACATTTCTGACAGTGTTTGCAGTATTTTATGCACTGGTGGTGGAAACATGCAAAAGGTTTGAGAGCTGGGCTAGATCCTGAGGTGGCAATAGTGTTCGGGGGCAATGGGGAGGCACTCCTGAGCATCGGTGGAGTCCATAACACTGCAATACTTCCTCAAATAAGAGATACAAAGACCATTGATCATGTTCCTATACACAGGCAAATATACAGAAGCACTCAAGCCATTAATTCTCAGCTGTTTAATACTCCTTCTGGAGAGCCATAGCATCCATTCCAATCAAGCCAAGTCCCCAGGGAAGAAAGTCTATAGCAGCAGTTAGTTAGCACCATGAATAGGCTTTTCTGAGGCACAGAAAACCATGCGAAGACACAGAAGTTGAGATCCCAGAGATGTGGATCTGTAGACCAGCAGTGAGGAATAAGGCAGGAAGAAAGCAAAACTGAAGGATGCATTTGAGGCTTTGGAGGCTCAGGCCAGATTTTGTCCCTGTAGCCCATGGATCCTGGTGCAGGATCAAACATAACAACTCCACTGCCTTGTCCAGAATAATTTGTGAGGAGTCCAGTTGTGTAAGGGGTAGATAAGGTCTTTTCACCTATGCAAGCTTTCTCCCCAGGTTAGCTGGGAACCCCAGAGCACCAGAGCCAACCCTGTACCAAGATCTGGAAGAGGACACCATCATCCCAATGGAACCTCCCACGAAATGAGGCAGAAAACTACCCACCATGAGAACGATTTTCTTTGGTGTAAAATCTTGATTGTGTTTTCCTTGACAGACATTATTTCAGTCCAGATGAGATTTCCCCATTTAGGTTCAATTGAGGTGGTATGGTATAATCAACAGAAAGCAGCTGCCTAGACCTTCTTAGAACTCACCATTAGCACACATAATAATCAACTAGGGCAAAACTATGTTGTTTTCACCTGATATGAACTGATACCTCTGCAAGTTTTTAGCATTAGCTTTGAGAGCCTGTAGAGACGCTTGGTCAGATTTCTAAACACTATCATTTGGAGGCACACAGTGCATTCTTCACTGGACGGGGCCGAGACCAATGCAAATGTAAGCAGAAATTATGACATGTCTAGTTGCAACTGTGGCTGTGCTGAATAATATCTATATGTTCCAGCTAGGAAAATACATATAAAAGCAGCACACAAACACACAGAAAGTAAGTGAAAGTATCAAGGGTACATTTCAAAAGAATGTGCTCTTGGTAGGGAACTCCTGCTGTGTACCAGTTTAACCATTAACTGCCTACTATGAACCATAAGTGATAAATGGGGAGAAATCTATAAAGTTATTGAATCACATTCAAAGGTACTCAGTTTCTTACTGTAATACAATCCCTTTAAATTCTGATAACCATGTTCTGTTTATTATAAGCACTGACTGTAAATTTGGATGGGGGACTCTGTTATGACAAATTATTTCTGATTTTGGAAGATACAATGACCTACAACTGTTTCACTAAAGTCATAGCCACTTGTATGGCAATTTGAAATCCAGGGAGAGTGGAGTACTTAAACCAGCATCTGCATACTCCTAAACAATCAACCCAGTGCAAATTTTACAGTGAAGTTTGCAGAGGGGCATAATTTGTTTCACAATGAAATAAACAAGCAACATTTTGTTCTCTTTGTAGCTACAAGAGTTATTATATAAGTCCAAAAGCAATGATAATGCTTTTAATAATAAAATTATAAAGCAAAAAAAACTATTTAGAAACACCATGGGTCTTAGTTGTACAAGCTTACAAGGAAGATTCTCTTCATTTATAGCTTTCATTTAAATATCATTACTCATACAAAGCCCATATTCTCTTTTCCCTTGTCTCCTTCCATTCCTCTCCAAGAGACGTACCATCAGATAATGCTGTACTTTCCAGAAGACCTGAAACACATGACAAAGTTTTACAAAAGCCATCTCTCCACACTGAATTTCAACACTTGGATCATTTACTAGGATGATAATGTGTCAAAGCACCATGGCAATACTCCAGTACTGTCCTCATACAATCATGAGATTTACAATAGTAGAGTTTCCTCAAACTCTTAAGAAGGAGTATTGAAAAATAGATAATTAAAAGGGTAATTTGGGTCAATAAAACAGTGTATTATAAATTTCACCTCATATAAGAAAATAATTTCTTTCTTTTAAAGATGTTTCTGCATTTGTTTATATATGGGTAACCTGATAGTTATTCTTCACCTTCTCAAGGCCAGTCTGTCAGTTCAAAGGAAGATAAAACCTGTCTGGATAATTTAAAAAAAAAGTTTCTTCTATTTGGCAGCTTGTATAAATACTATCAGTCTCTGTTCTCCGTTAACCTGCATTTCAGCCTCAGAAAACCTTCAATTCCTCTAAAAATTTACAAGGCTATTTGTTTCAAATCCAACTTTCATGAACATCAGAAATTTCAGTGTAATGAGAAGTTGACCACCGGTTGCTGAGAGTGCATGCTTATCTTCCAAGTGTTTGCTGCTTTGCACCTAGACATTGACAGGATGTTTCCCTTGTAACACTGTACAACTGCATTTTCATAAATGAAGTGCCAAAACACTGGAGAAAGCAGTATGACTTATAACAAATGAAAGCATCTCTACATCTGATCATATTATGGGAGGTAGAAAATTGATGTTAGTTGATATTAGATGTCAACGTTTAGTTTGATTCAGGTTGTTTTCGAACATTTAGGTGAAAACAGGTAATATCAAATTTAGGTAAGTGCCCACATTCTACAACAGAAGCTAAGCAGAGATAAACATTTTGTCTACCCACATGATAAAAAATTAATTAAAAAAATAATTACTGCAAGTTATGGGGAAAAAATAAGAAAGGAAAAATCAAAAGTTGGAATGCAAGACTCATCTTTGCAGACAGATTAAATATCAGATTATGGCAGGAATTCTCTTATCCATAAGGCATCACAAGTGAATTTTTCTATAAGACAGTGTATGGTAAATCTTATCAAAGATTTAACAATGAGTCCCATATGTTTCTAGAAGGCTCATGTGTATATTGTCAAATAATATAGGATAGTCACCAAGGTCATCACTGCAAGTCTGATCAAAGAGAAGTGACTATTCCTCACCTTAATAGCAACGGCTACTAAAGCACAGGTTTCTGGTTGGTATCCAGAATACTATGGGGTTTTTTGCATGGTTGCAAAATGCACTTTCAGAGCTTCATGTCCTAGAAGGACCGGGAGATTTTCCTGATGGTAAATATCTTGAAACATAAGGTTGGTGGGCTCAAAAGTAAGCTACAAGTGCAACTTTCATAGTCAAAGGAAAATGGTTCTTTGAACTTACACCAGTCTGTGGGAAATAACCTGTCCCTTCATCTGGAGCTCTGAGACCTACCATTATCTCACTGCTGCTCCTGAATGCTCCCCATCTTGCTGTGAGGGAAGAACTAACTCCTCTCCTTGGCTTCGATCCAGGCTCTGGGTGCTGTATGGAGGGGCAAAGGGGCTATGAGGAACAGATCTAGATCCTGGTTCTTATCTCACTTTCACAGTAAAAACTGCAAGAACACAGAGAGATACACATACACCACCGAAAATCTACATGGATAAACAGAGTGACAAAACAGCAAAAAGCATCTACTAATTATCATCAGTCAGTATGGTAGCCTGTGTTTTTGTTATCAGTATGCCCAAAGCTATAACTTAACCACTGGGAAATTCTGAGTCCCCATTCCTACAGGAGAGAACAGCACTTCAGCCAAGGAGGCTTCTATAGCTAACCTCAGGACAACATTTTAAATCAAAACAATTCAGTTCTTCACAAGCGTTAATTTTTTTCCTCCACTTCATGTAACCTCTGACCTCATGTCTGGAGGTGATGGATGAGATGAGACAGAGCCATGGGAGAAGACCTGAGGATAGTTGATGGCATGCTACAGCTAGCAGCCATTAACAGGCAAGGTTTCCTCAGAGGAAAATAAGAATTATTTCAAATCAAGAAAAATAAACACCAGAAAATCAGTTGTGCAGAGTGGCTCACATAAAATATGAATGTGGCCAAGCCAGAGCTTACTGCGGGGAATCCAATTTTGTGAGCTTACTGCAGAAGAATGCAGGCCCCAGCCTTAAGGTCTTATAAAAGCTCTGAAATGAAAGAGTAAAGCCCTTTCTGAACATACAGAGAGCAGTGCATTAAAGATTGCAGCCCACAACCTTTCAGGCAGTCCTCCAGTAGTACTGTGCCCTCATTATTCGTCCATCACAAGCAGAAAACAGGAGAGAAAAGTGTTCCCTGGCAAGTGCTAAAGTGAGACTTTGGTATACGGAAAAGAATCCTCTCCTGGTGTTTGTTTTGGCAGGAATAGTTTTAGCAGACAGTATTACAGTCCCATCCACTTGCAGAGCAAGGCTACAGTTCACATATTATTAAAACTCCAGGGCTGATTGCTTTCCACACATCAATGTTAGTGAAGCTAGCAGAACGCAAGCAAAGTTGTTTGGTCAGCAAAAACTTTTTTCCTTAAAAAATACAATAACATTTTCTCTAAATAAAGCAAGTTGGTTGGCTTCAAGCAAGGGGGATGACAAGATCCTTCTAAATGACAGTGCTGGGCATTAAAATTTGAAACCCCGTATCTTTCCTTCCCAGGCACTCAAGCTGCCAGCAGCTGCATTGTCTCATTTCCTGACCTTGCACAAGTGAACAGGGAGCCTGGGAGAGGCAGATGACCCTGGTCTGTCATTAGAGCTGCACTTCATGGTAAGGCTACTTGAAAATGTTGCTGACCCATGGGCAGTTAATTCTCTGCACATCAAAGGGAGCTACAGTGGTGAGAGTACTTTGTCTAGATATTCTAGCCCAGTTTTGTGCCTGGTAGAGTGAAGTCATAATAGAAGCACATATTCCTTTGCTTCTTGGTGACTGGGATCTCTAGGTATCCATCCTACTTCCAGTCCCAAATCGCAGGTCATAGATGATGATGTAGGCTATGGATGCATCCTGAATGCAGGCCTGCCTAGTTCTTGACAAATGTCTGTGGGATCTCACCCTGGATCTCTAAGCTTCTCCATGCTCTGAGAGAGATGGGGCAGAGAAGTTTCCAGGAATGGAGGAAAACCTCCTTTCAGTTTTCCACAACCCACTTGCCCCACACCTCCTCTCAAATACAGCAGTAATCCTAAGAAACTGCAGTTTTGCCCCCACATCCTCCAGCATGCAAAGTCCTCTGCTCACACAGTGAGATGATGACCTTGGAACTCAGAAACAGACATTCAATGTAAAAGCATGCAGCTCACTTAAAACCTTGGTATTTACACTGCCATGGTGCTTATCTTTCATGGCAGTTAAAATATTCCTTGTTGGCTGATTATCTTGTAGTATCATCTATGGTGCAGTGTTAGTGAAACAGTGGCATAAAACAATAATAATCATCCCATGTGAATGAAAAAATCATAACCTCTCTTGGTCAAACTTACTATAAGGTTTATTTACTAATGTCAAATACGAAAGTGCTGCCTTTCTCCTGAAACATATTCTTCAAACTGTGTATACAGTACTGTTTTATTTTACATGCCTTGAAGCCACAGTAGGTTGTGTCATTTTATTTTTTGATAGTCTATAGAGCTAAAGTGAGAGCAAATAATTGGTTTCCATGTGTTAGTATATTCTCAGAGAACTCAGTCTTTCTCTTACGAATGGAAATGTCAAAATCAGAACCAGAGACCCAGAGTTTTTTTACACTCTGGGCCTGTAATTGGTAAGAATTCAAAACATCTGTCTCTTGTTTGGGCAAATAAAAGCCACTTTTGGAAAATGTATTTACCCATGTCTGTTTCAAACAGTGAATGGCCAAACCAAACCTCAGCAGGTTTTCAAGTTCACATCATGAGCTGGTGAAATCTGTGATCCTTCTATTGATGACATGCAGCCATCAAGACTTGGAAACACTTGATGTTTGTGTATCTTGCCTTACCACTGTCCTTCTATTTGCCACATTACAGTCGGGGAAGACTGCACTGAGCAGTGTGTTACCCAGCAACTTGCTGTGGAGGGATCAGATTCAGCAGCTTTTCAGATTGCATTACTGGAGAATTACTTGCTTCCAGCTGAATGTTTCTTCCTTTCTAGCACCTTGATAGCTGTCTCACTTTAGGAAATATTTTGCAGGTGTCCTTGAGAGCCAAGACCCTCTTTGCACAGAAAATCTGGGAGTAGAGGTATAAAGCTGACAAAAACGTCTCTTTGCATTCAGTGGATGATGATTTACTGTCACTATGAGAGCTTTAAAAGACAAAGTTAAAAAAGACTGTTTCATATTAATCATTAACCAGAACTGAATCTTTTTAATATCATACCACTACAAAACCATGAACATTTTTGTCAAACAAATGGAAAAGTTTGAAGAGCAACTGGCATTGGTGGTTTACATTCAATACACCTCCCTGTCTCCCATTCCTAAAAAAACAAAAACCCAAGAAAATCAAACAGAATGCAAGCAGCAAGTCAAGTAAACTTTAGTTTCTCCAGCTGAGGAGCAGGGATGCAAAAACTTTTAAGCATGCTATAAATAATCATACCAGTGGTACTTCAGCCTATTATTGATTTTTTCCAGCACAAGTACAGAATTTCCAAATGAATACAGCAATGAAAATATTTCCATGTATTAGGAGTCACATAAGTATTACAAATTTCCCGCTACCTACCCATAGGTATTAAAAATAAAACCAGACAATTTCTTTGCAGGTGGCAAATGAACTGGTTTACATTTGTAAAGTCCTAAAAAATTGCTATTTACACATTGTAAATATTTATTTTAAAATATCAACAATCTGTATTTTTTTATTAGACCCTCCAGCTCCTATCAGTGTTTATGTAAAGGCATTTTCTCTGAAAAAAACCTAAGATTTTTTCTCTCCTGTCATAATTTCTATATTTTATTATTATTTATTTCTATATTTTACATTTTCTATATTTTATTAAAAGACACAACCAATACAACCTCACTTCAAGCTACCTAGAAGCATTTGGAAAAGATTCTGTTTTTAATGGTGCTGAGGTGCCTGGTTTGATAGAGAGGATGCCACATGAGAGAAAGAATTATTTTCAAAAATTTGAAATAAAAATGGTTTTGTATCTCAGAGAACTAAGGAAAGCAGACATGCTCATTCCCATATGTCTTCCTTTGAAAAAAACCTTTAATGGCTGACATATTTTACAGAGAAGTTGGTCTGATCATGAAGTGGCCAAACGTGCAGGAATATTTTCATAATATAATTAAAATAGCCAGGTTGGAAGAATATAGAGCTTTCTCTGACCTGAAATTAAACCGGACCCAAACTGGCTCTCTCCCAGCTTTGCCCTGAACCAGGACAGAGCCACATCCAAGAATTTTTATTTTTTGCTTCTGCATATGCCAAAGCAAATACTGATAGGACACTTCTAAACCTTCTTGTTGAGCTGTTCCTGACTCTCTGAAGTGCCCCTAATCCAGTCCTTAAAAAAAAAAAAAAAAAAAAAAAAAAAAAAAAAAGGCAATTAAGTTGTGTTTAATAATAACCCTTCCCATGGATAGCTCCCTGGATAGCCAATGCTGTTGTTCAGTGGTATGGGGAATGAAATTACCAGAGGCACTTTCTGGGTAAATCACAGCATATCCTGACCCCTGCATGGGCTCTCCTTACATAGAGACCCGCCAAGATCAGCATAGCAGAAAGATGACCTGGTGTAGGCATGTTTGCATCTCCTAGAGGGCTTCCCAGCATTTTCATTTCTTCTTGATATTACTTTAGCCCTGCAAAGCACCTCTCATCCACATTGCCTACCTGTGTGAAGGCCCTCTAAATGAAATCACAATCCACATGAAGGGACACCACTGCTGTCTCAGTGTGGAGGTTTTGAGCCTTGTGCCATGATGCCATCACAGCTTGTTTTCGTCATTCTCTTCAGCTTTGAAAACAAACCAACCAAACTAAACACTATGCTGGGGTCTTCATGTGTTGAGTACAATAGATAAGCCCCTTCTCTTGCACCCCCTGGCCGTGCCCCCCCATGGCCAGATTTGCCCAGCAGTTGTCTGTATACAAAGGGGCTTGGGGGCTGCCCTTCAAAAGCCAAAACCTCTATTTCTAGAGCTCTGCCCAGGACCTTAGCAGCCTGCACTAGTCTCTGGCTTCAAAAGCCCTGAGAAGCTCCATGCACATACCTGTGGCTTACAAATTGAAGCCTGACTGCTGAGCCTGACTACTTCCCCCACTTTCATGTCTTAGTATTACTTACCGATATTTCCCCCGTGTCCTTGGTGAAATCTCTGCCTTTGAGGGAAGAGGGAAATCTTCACCTTCCTGTCTTGGTCATAACCAACAGACTCCCTTTCAAAATGGATTTCTTTAGTCTAAAAAGCTGTGTGCGTTTAAGCTGATTAATCATATCAGAAAACAGCATGCAGTGTCTCCTAGAGTATAATCCTAACAACACAAAGCTTCCTTCTTGCTGGTCTGTCTCCTTATCAATGCTCATGCTGGCAACAATTTAGGAGAAATAATGAACCTCAAACAAGCAGAAGAAAAAAATAAGAGCACAAAACCATCACTTAGAAGTCTGATTGTTCTCTGATGCTCAAGTGTACCAGGAATAGCAGAGAACTGGAGGGAAGAAAAAGCTTATTCTGCCCAAATACATGTTGTCAGAATCATTCGCTGTGAGAAGAAACTGGCAAACAAAACAACATTCAGTAAGAAGGGTAAGAACAACAGCATTAAAAAATTTTACATGAAAAAAAAATTTCTTCCTACTTGATGCTCAAAATAAAGTACACAAATTCTACTGTAAATAAGGATGATGACATGTAGGAAACTAAGTTACAAGCCAGGCTTATAGAAATTTTGTAGCATGACAAAAGGACATTAATCAGTGGCATGGAGAGTTCAAGACAGTAAGATGATTCCTAAGAGTGAAAAGAATCCAGTAACAGAGGCATTGCAGACCCAGAAAAAAATTTAATTACTGTCAGTAAAATACAATTCCCAGAATTATGCCATATAACTTCATCATAGAACTATGCCATATAATTTCATCATATAGCTCAGAAAAAGCCAAACTTCCCTCCTGTCACAAGGAAATTAATGAACATAACAACAACAATACAACAATAACAAAACTTCACAAACCTACCAAAAAAAAAAAAAAAAACAAAAAAAAAACAAACAAGGTCAGGTTAAACAGCTACTGAAGTAAGCAATTTTTGAAGAATTAAACTAAAAACAGGTATGGAAAACTTGCATCCAAAAGCTGTACACGAGGTCTGGATGAAGTGCACATGTGTACATGTATTGAGATGGCTTAGAATATGATCAAAATTCTATACCAGAGAACTGATTGAAAATTCAATGCTGCAAGAGAGGCTAATAAATGGGTCTCCTGGGTAGTCAGAGAAATGGGTGTTGGGCATAGCAGAGTGGAGCAGTGTTGGGAAGTAGCACCTGCACTGTGCCTGGCTGGAGATTCAGAGTATGTTGTTATAAAGAAAATGGAGGCACTGGTGCCTTCCAGCCTCCAGGAGCACTCCACACTGCTAGCACCAAAGGTGATGACAGATTTATACTACACTTATCAAGGACCAAAGAAACTAAGAGGCATGGAATAAAGTGTCCCCCTAATTGGAACTGTGGTGTTTGCAATAGCTTTTTGCAGAATTAACATTGACAGATAAAACTGTCTGATGACTGCTTCTAATGAAGCCTAGAAAGATGGCACGGAAATAAAATTTAGAAAAAATAATGACAAGTCAGGTTTTCCTCTGAATTTGGATCACTTGGGAAGGTACATAGAAAGAACAATGTTTAGTTTGAGAAAGCCAGATCTACACGGATTCATCTAGGAACAAAATGAGGCAGAGGTCATGGTGAGAGTTTGCTCTGGAAGCAGATGCAGAAAAATATTTGAGCTCCTGCTGGCTATTCAAGTGAATGGCTTTCCAATTCAACACCGGTCAAGAAGTGTGGATATATTTGATATATTAAATGTGGGGATTTTGAAAAGGATCAGAATAGTCTCTTTTGCCCATGCACTGTAATGTAACATCCAAAAAGCAAACTGAGCCACCTTTACCATAAAAATCCAAATAAAGTTAGGGAATTTGTCACAAAGTGTCAAATTTGGGGCACAGGCCCCTAATTTTCAGACACTGAAAACATATGATCCTATCTACACAGCTTTTCTATTGACACTAACATTTCAGTATATGACAATAAAAAGGTGGGTTTACATAGGTAAAGAAAAAGAGTGTGAAAGGAAAAGTTGAGCTTCTTATCAGGAAAAAAGAAACAAATCTTTTTCAAACAGTGGAAGTTATTAAATTGGGTTACACATTGAGCACACAAAAGAAATATTTAAAACCAGACAACTAGAAATACATACCAACAAAGCCAGAAGTTATCAGGAAAAATAAAGGGGAGTATGACACCCTCCATCCCCCACAAATTCTCTGTCACGTGATCCTACAAATCACTAGGTCAAATGTAAATGTCAGTAATATATACTATACATTAGGGATAGATATATAGGCCAAGACACACACTTCCTGTAGGGACAACTAAAATTTTAGGAAGGACTTTCCAAGCAAGTAGAAACCTGTACAAACTACAATAGGACTGAAAATGCAGCAATTAAATTACTAAAGTTTATTATGGAAAGAAAATGTAGACTTTACATCTGCCAAGAAAGGAAGGCAGGGGAGAGAGGAAGAACAGAGGTCAGAAAACTTCATGTACCAAGCACATTCAAGATAAGGAAGTAAAATAATACCTGAGGTGATAAGAAGAGTATGTAAACAACACATGAAAACCAAGTCTGCTGACTCTAGACTTCCAGAAAGCATTGGTGTAACCTGCAAATAATGTATGAGAGAAGCAACTGTCAGGCATGATACTTCAGAGAATAGTGAGAGATAAGCAGATGGAATTTTCCATCTTCTGGGGTAGAGCTTCCTGCCATTCCTGCCACCCCAGAAGCTGCCCGCATGCCCAGAAAAGTTCCCTTGTCAAGGACTCTCCAGTGGCCTTGCTGAAAAGCTCAAGGCTGCTGAGCCTCTGCACAGATATGTTGTCATGTCAGGAGTGGAGTCTCTTGGAGTCCAGCAATAAAATACTGTGCAGCCTGCAGCAAACTGACTGAAGGCTGATCCCTCAGTGCTAGGTGCTTTTCAGGCCTCACATGCAGGAAGAGGAGGAATTTTTCCTCAGCTGAATTCTCTTTGTTCTCCAGAACGCAGTATTTCATTGCCAAGTGAACAATTTTTGGGGGATGAGAACAGGGAGAAGCTCTAACAGGTGTACCACCTGTACTGGGTAAAAAGGGACAAAGCAGGAGGAAGTCTTCTCTCTGAAGCTTGGGAAGTGACCACAGAGCAGACACTGAGTCACAGCACAGTGGCAGTCATCTTGTGTACTGTAGATACTGAGTGCACATCAAGGTGAGGCCTTACAGTATAGAAGTTGACATGTCTGCGTGACCATGGCCTCTCTAAGGTCCCTGGGAGATTTGCTGTGAGGGTCAAGAAATTACTGTGTCATTTCCAAATGCCCAGATTGACTTTTTACTGTCAGGGAATGATGATTGTAGAATAACCATTCCCCTTACCAATGTTGTCTACAGGCTAAAAATGAAGTGAAATACAAGGCAAGTCGAGTCATCAGCCACTAAACAGTGCAAGAGTTTGCATAAAACCTACTCACTTGGGCTGTGCTGTGTCAAATAATTCTGGGTTAGGCAACAACAGACACCTCTGATTCACCATTTTTGTTAATGGTTTCTGATGTAGCTTTTCTACATCTTCTGCAAAATTACATATGTTTCACAAGTTTTTCCAAATCTTAATACCCTCAGTTCAGAGAACAGAACCTAGCTGCTGTGATGATAAAACAAATTGAAAACTGTAAACCTCCCTAAAAAAAGGCAGAAAACTTGGGCCAATTTCTGCTGTCAAAGATTGGTATTGACCATTGTCCAACTATGCAAGCATTCCCAAAAATAATGTCAAAGGCAAGATGTTTAAAAGCATTTAGTTCTCTTTGAAGTCAATAGTCAATCTTCTAATCCAACAGATCTTTGCAGAGAAATAACTGAATATTACCCATGATGGATGATCATTCCAGAAGGAATATAAAAGCAGACTCTGTCCCATAAACTACGTGTCATTTATGTTATTTAGTTTACTCCCTATGCAAAACACACAAAAAAGTAATAACTTAAATTTTTAGTTAAAAATATGAAGTGATTACACATAACTTTTGTGATATGAAATAATTCTAGCACATCTTGCAGGATGAACTACTGAACTTCAAATAAAAAAAAAAAGAGTTTGATAATGCAATTATAAAGTAAACTGAAGAATATAAACAGCCAGTGAAATAAAAAATTATCATGCTTGAAATGGTTGGTTTTGCAGGGCATCTATAACTCCACAAGAACTTTCAGAGGCACTACAAGAATAAGTTCAAAATGCACATAAGATGGCTGACAGCTGTAATATTTCTAGCGTTCACAACTAAGTAAAATCAATTAAAAATGTAAAGCAGCACATAGAGAATAAAGCAGAAAAATATTCAAGTGTACCAAATGGGATGCCAGAACAATGAAGAAAGGCAGAGAAACCTAATAAGACAGAGGAAAAACAGTTGTCCCAATGCTATCTGCGCCAGCTAATCAGTGAAGAAGGAAATAAGAACACTGGTCTGGAATAAGAAATTTCAGAATAGACAAAATATCCACAGCCCTATATGAAGAAGTACCTCAAAAACGTATCAGCCCTAATATTAAAGAAAAAACAACCAAAAAAAGTAATGAGTTCAGAACGCCAAACAAACCCGAAACAAGTCATGGAACCAAACATAACAACAAAATCCTCCCCACTACAGCAAATTTACAATTTGTATCAGGAGTCTTACATCAAAAAATGCTGTAAGTCTCTTCCTATAGATTTCAGGAAAAAATGCCTTCCTGTCCTAGGCATAACTAAACACAGCTTCAGTGTCTTGAACTAAAGTAGAAGCACCACTTGTGCAAGTCAAACAGCTATTTAACATTGAGTTTTAACAGAAAAGAAGGCAGAACAAAGACAAAGCCATAGCAAAATTATTCAGTTCTGTTGTGTAAAACTGAAGAATAATTCGTAGCACAGTTTCTAATCCTCTTAGATTATTTTCAAGGCAGGAAGGAGGAAAACAAAATTCCAGCTAAAGAATGTTATTCACAAAATAACAAAAAACCACCCACAGGGTATAAGGACACATCACAGTTATATGGCATTAACAACCTTGATTTCTACACACAGAAAAAAATTTCATTTAGCTGATTGGTCTTTTCCACTGGGCAAGAAATTTATTTCAGTGACTACTAATTGATTTTAAAGACTCTCATCATTTGTTTTGTTGGAACACAGGAAATACTTCTGTTAAAAAAAAGCCTGTTTCTCTTTTACTTGAATCTTCATGGATGAAAAGGAGATGCAGGCAATATGTAATGCCTGTGAAAATTTCAGCAAGAAGGACAAGAACTTGAATATCATCACTGTCACTAACAAGAGGTGAAGTAGAGAAGCCTGAAGACTTGAAGATTTCAGGGAAGAAACGGACAGATAAAAGAAGGCAGTTGCCTCTACCATAAAGACCATGAGTATAACATCATGCTCATGAATATAGTCATGCTACTAAGGGGAACAGATCTTTGTAAGGAATCTGACAATCTTTTATTAATCAATTCACTGGCACAAGCAGCCTTATTACAGACCTTCTTCTCTAGGCTGCAATCCCAGAAAAATTCCAGGGAGAAAGTAGAAAAAGAGGTGTTAGCCCCCAGAGCTCTAGGAAGCATCTCAGGGAACCAGAGAATATTTTAAACAAGCCATGTTCATTAAAGCCAGATGTTCAGAAACAGATGCATAAAGTCCGTATCTGAGAAGCAAAATATATAGCCTGTTTTTTTTTACCAGGTTGAGAGTGCTCTGCTAGGAATTTACATAAAAGTAGACATATTGACTGTTGAGCGCTCCAGAAATTTGATCAGTGTTGGATATTCAACTGACCCTACACGCTGACAATAGCTGGTATTCTGTTTAATAATAATTGTTCTTTCTTGTTTCTGTACCACAATGCCAAAATAGGCAGGTTGGGTTAAGTCCAAATACACAATTACAGTTTGGAGCTTGCACCAGAACACACCATTTATGCTTGGAAGTGCTCTGTGAACAGCCAAGCAATAGGACAATGGCAAAAACAACTCTTGGCTTCCTCCAAAGTCTTTTAGTTTGTGCATTTGAACAAGGAAAAAGAGGACCTATCATGGCACATAAAGTTATGATGATTGCAAATAACAGCAGTTACAAGGATGTTACCTCTTCATATACAGGAGGGACATGAAGCAGAGAAAAAATGCTCAAATTTCAAACACCATGGCCAGCAGCATTGCAAGTACATCGGGGAAGTTGGTTGCATTGAGCCTGTACAACTCTTGACTAAATTACACATATACACTGTGGCATTCCCAGGCATGGAATGGGAGTGAAACAGCCCACTTCTATGACAGTGAGGCACACATGAACAGTCTGTTCAGAATTATCCCTGGGCCTTTTGTTCTGCCAGGCTGTGTCAGGAACAGCTTGAGGAGAACCCTCGTTGGAGTGGGCCAAATCCATGTCAGTAAAGGCTATAAAACCCTCTGAACACAAACAACACCCCATCTAGCTGATGCCAGAGCTAAATTTCATTAGCATAGCTACAACTAGGAGTAATTCTAGTAATTCTTTGGGCAGGGCAATTTGCGGAGAGATGTTGTATGTGGACACAAAAGTGCATATATGCTGTAAAGGCAGCGTGTGGCTCAGGAATGGTAATACAAGTTCATTTGGAATCAGTCAGAATGGCAACCCCTGTTTAACTTTATCAATAGTATGGGAAAAATGCTTTAGACACTTCAGTCGTCTCCCTGCACTGAAAATTCAGGATCTTTTCTCTCTCTTTTAGCCTTATCTTTAATGAATCTTCTTAATATTTTTGAGAAAAAATGTCTAGTGTTATAGCCAAGCCAAAGATTCTCCAGAAGAAAATGTCTTTTGATGACAATCTGTGGTACAAAATCATGCTGAGCATATTATTCATATCAATCACAGTATGAAGACATAATTAAAATGAAAATATGATGTGATAACAATTATATCACAATTATATATGTGAAAATAGAAATAACAATGTGATCAATGAAGTGTTCCCATTTTCTGCTGATAAAAAATGTGTTTTACATGGGAGCAAGAAAACAGAGAGTAGCTGTGATTAAAAATAAAAAGGATTCAAACTTGTGCAAATGGGCTCTGACTGGAAAATCCTAGTTTCATACTGAGAACTGTCCCCTGCACTGAGCTGACAAGCTAAAGTCCTGGCTAAATAGTGTCTGGACTGAAGTAAACCATCGTTTAGGGTGCTCCATCTGCCCACAACTAAAAACAGTGCTCTCAGCTCTCTTCCTAATACTTGAGATAGTTATGCAGATTGCCCTGAGTACACACTGGCAATGGCACGCCTGAAACAGAGATCTCACATGATACAAAGATGTCTTATTTATTATTTGTTAGTCAATTTGTAGGGAGAGGTTTGGAACCCCACAGAGTTTCCATAGCTCTCTATGGATATTCTTCAGGAGAATTAATAGTAGACATGGCACCACTTTTTCCCGCTCAGGTTCTTTGCTTCTATGACATGTGATTTACTTTTTCAGAGTCAGATAAGTGATTTATTAGAGATAGAGAATAGCTGGATAAAGCAGACTTGCAAAAATTATTCATATGGACACTTTCAAACACTAATCCAAGTTAAAAAGAGAGAAATAACTTTCACAAATACATTTCT